CACGTGCCCATTGTATTTAAATACATATATCAGTCTTCCCTTCTCCAAATTAAACATACCCAGCTCCCTTAGTCATTCCTCATAGGTCTTGGTTTCCTGACCTTTGGTCATCTTGGTCACCTTTCCAAATCAAAGCTTTCATGAGCCTACTTTGCAAAAAAAAAGTTCTTTCCAAGTCCTGGCCTGACGAAATGGGAGACCAACGCTAAAACCTAAGCCCTGTGTTAGAGCCACAGGGTTCGTTGCTTTACCCTGCATTGGAAAAGAAAAAAAGATCCTTTGGTTGTATCCACCCAACACCTGCTGACAAAACATTGACCCTATTACAAGGGTTGGATTTATGCTGGCTCAGTATAACACCCAATAAAGGAGACCGAGGCAGTGCAGAAGATTAGAGAACGCTGGTCGGTGAAGTTGTTTTATTCCTTTGGAGACGGCCAGAAAGCTGCAAAGATTTGCTCAGTTATTTACTCTTCATTACCCAAGATGCTGAAGGGGCTTTGTACAAAACGGCTCATGTCGGGTCACCACAAGTCTTTATAAGGTGCAAAGATTGAGGGGGAGCCAGGCCTGTTCTGGAGGAGATCAGACACTTGGGGCTTAAATGGAAAGTCAGCGCTCATAAAAACACATGGGGTTTTGGCATTGGGCTCGGGACTCCGGGGGCTAATGAAAAAGGTTTTGCACCAGCCTTGTAAAGTGCCAAGGAAATTTTTAAGTACAGCCTGGGCATTCAGACATTGTGCAGTTCAGCCGGTCTCTCTGTGGGGCTCCTTTCTGAAACCCTCCTCAGCATCGGCTTAAATAATTATTATTAATAACCATTAAGCCCATCGTTGTGTGGCACAAATCATTTGATGGCTCTTGCCCATGGCTGGTGCTGCTGGCAAGGGGAATTCTGGAAGCTGTAGTCCAAAAAAGGTAACTCTTTAAAGCATTGTTCTTGTCCTGCTTGAGACTTGGTTTTGTGCCTGAAACGCCTCTGAAATAAATTGAAGCACGGGTGGCTTTTGGCCTTCTACGTTGGTGGGCTGGCGAATCCACCTTGAGTTTTAAGGAATCTGCTGAAGGTGCTGACCTCCTTCCACAAAATCGGTTTAGCCCTTTGGGGAGTGTTTTCAAACTCCAGGCTAAGCCCCAGTATGTCTTCCAGTTGAGAAAGAGAATGGAATGGTGAATTTGCACTGGGTTTTAATCTAGATTTTAAAGGCGCTATCCAAGGTGCTTAAAGCTATCCCTACAGAACGTTAGATAATTCTTTTATGGCTGCTGCCACACTGCAGAACGAATGCAGTTTGACACCCCTTTAACTGCCATGGCTCCATCCTCTGGAATCCTGGGGTTTGTAGTTTGTTGTGGCACCAGAGCTCTCTGATAAAGACTAAATATCTCACAAAACTGCAAATCCCAGAATTTGCTAGCATAGAGCCGTGGCATTTAAAGGGGTGTCAAACTGTATTCATTCTGTAGTGCAGATGCAGCCTAAATTTCAGACTAAACGCCAGCATGGACACACCACCCCTCTGCCATGGAAACCATCAGCCATCAGTGATGTCTTTCAAGAAATGTCTGAGAAAGAAAAGAGGGGGAGAAATAGAAGGCAGAGCTTGGGAAAGTTACTTTTTAGACTACAGCCCCCAGCAAGCCAGATAGTATATTCCATGTCTCTGCTGGCTGGGATCTTCAGGAATATGTAGGCCAGAATCCTTTTGGTATCTTATAGATGAGTGGTTTGACAGTTTCATCTAATGCAAAATATCTTCATTCCATTCAAAGACACTTTGATACACATCATCGCAATGCCATTCAAGGTTGTCAAAGAAGGAGTGCAGATGAGGTGAGACTATACATGAAAGATGTGATTTGCACATGGATATGTCTGGATGCACATGTGCATTTGGTTGTGCACTTGGCTGCACACTTGGTGTCTAAGTTCGGTTGTGCAACCTTAATAGAAAAGTTGCATGGTGGAATGAATGTGTAATTTCCGCATGCAGAAATTTACGTGATACAACCTCCATGTAGGAACTCAGCTGATGCCTTCAAATTGTTGTTGTTGTTGTTGTTGTTATCATTATCCGGCCCCTCTGCGTACGCAACCAGGGCAGCTTACATTAAAAATACAGTAAAAATACAATACATATCCCGTAAACCCACCCACCCCTTCAAAGTAACTTTTCCATCCTCTGAGAAAAGGTAAAGTCAAAGAGGTGTAGACTTCTCTTTTTTATCCTCTTGTATTGACTTTAGTAGCTTCTCTTCACGTGCCAAGGATCTGTTCTGCAAATATGGGCACGAAAAAGGAGCACGGAAGACATCACCTGAGCTTGGGAAAAGGGAGAAAACATCCAAGCAGGGCAGAGGAAAAAGGGAATGGTTGTGTATATTAGCAGATTTCCTTTCTTGGTGGCTTTTATTGGGAATAAATCTCCGGTTAAGGTGTGAAAATTGGCAGATCACGATACACTTTGACAGACTGCTGAAGACCGGCAAATTAGAAATGAGGTTTGATTCCAAGACAAATAGTCAGAGTGCCCTAAATGGTATGAGGACGTTGTCCAAAACATTTCAAAGAGTGCTCCTATTTTCAGAAGGAGCAATATTATTCATTCACATTGGTGTACAAAAAGTGGGATGCATTCAGACAAATAAGCTGGGCTCCAGATCTGCTTTACTATAGAAGCACTTGTGTATTTGCTGTAAAACCTTTTTGTTTGTTGAGAAAAAGTAAATCCAGAGCCCAAAGGGTGTTGTGTGTCATATACATAAGCAAAGTGCTGCTGTTGAGTCAAAATTCCATTCAGAGTGATGAAAGGTCAAGTGCATTTGACCTCAGCATCCGACCATCTGTTTCCATGGCAGATCCAAGGTGAAAATTCACCCCAAAGCAATGTGTTTTCCAATACCTGAGTCCCTACCTGCTTCCCTTTACTATGTGGCATCCATATCAATAGGATGGTGAATCCATACCATGCTTTAATGTATCCTAAGATGTAATGTATCCTAAGATGTTGATGTATCCTCAGATGTAATATATTTTAAGACGCCAGCATGGCGTAGTGGTTTGAGCATTGGACTAGGACACTGGTCCTAGGAGTCCAGGATTCAAATCCCAGCTTGGCCATGGAAGCATGCTGGATGACTTTGGACAAAGGCAAATCAAATCAAAGCAGTTTCATTTATATACTGCTTCATACCGCGCAATGCAGTGTCTAAGCAGTTTACAACTGCAATCTCTCAGCCTCAGAGGATGGCAATGGCAAGCCCCCTCTGAAGAAACTTGCAAAGAAAACACCATGATAGGTTCCCCTTAGGGTTGCCATGAATTGGAAACAACTTGAAGGCTCACAACAACAATAATGAATCCTGAACCCAATTTGGAATCTGTTCTGGGTAACAGTGTGAACTTTAACCTATCCATTAACTTTGAACCTTGCAGGATAGCTCTTTTACAATTCAGATTAAAACCCAGAATGTATTCAATGACTCTAAACTCCCCCACCCAAGACATTCCCATGATGGGAAAACTGGCCTGCAGACAATCCTCATTACCACATTGTCCACCCCTTGCCTAAAGTCACTTCATGTTTATAGGGTGAGGAAGGAACGGACTCTGAGTGATCCTTCCATATCACTTTATCTGGAATCCCACTGATTTCTCATAAGCCATTAATATTTGAGATTCATCAGGTTTTTCCATTGCGGCCAAGAACTGAGTCAATGGTGTGGAGGTAGATGTTGCAACTGCAACCATCAAGTTGGCGTTCTTTGAACATGAAGGCATGTTGAGCTCTCTCTCTCGGCCTCTGTCTCCATATCTCTCTAATGTGCTTGGACAATCCAGTGTTCACTGTTCCATAATAAAATCCCAGGGGGCTTTTGGCCAAGGGCCTAACTCAACAGCCCACCCTTCCCTGTGGCTTTGTAGTCCCAGGGAGAGAAAACGCAGAGGACTCTGCAGGGAGGCTCAGCGCCGGCCATGGCTTGCCAACATCAAAGAGATGGCTTGGATCTCATCCTCCAAGAACAAAAATAGTTGCCAGGATCACTAGAGGAAAGCAAGACAGTTTGGTAAAGTGAAGGTCTGGAACAGAGATGGCCTGGGATCAGTGAAGACAGATGACAGTTGCTTTCCCAGCAGAATCACTCAGCTAAAGCAGAAAGGCCTGTTTTAAGACTGAATGGAGGGAGAAAGGAAAAAAATCTTGCAGATGAAAATGAGCAAGAATGTGGAGAGAGTATGTGTGCAGCTCTGGCAATGGAATAGTATATGCTGGAAGAGAAGTTAAACTACTGCTGGGAATCCACCCTGCAAAAATCCTGCTGGTGTTAGTTTCCACTTCACACCTACAGACTGATATTGCTCAGAGGCTCTTGATGTCTTGCATACTGCATGTGTTCCTTTATAGAAGCAGCTGGACATTTCTGTCCACTGCAGAATGGATAAAATTATGCAGAATTCAGCTCAAGGTTATAGAGTTCTACCTCTGGTGCCATTGTGCTGTGCAATGGATTCCACACTCAGTGCTTTGGTTCAGTTGTGCAAGGCTACTGCATTCAACACAAGGGTTGCATAGCACAGAATAATGCAATGCATCCCTGATGTGGGATCTCAGCCATGTTCTACTGAGTGATACAACAGTTCTTCAGCATGTGTCTGGAGCACCCCTTCCTCTTAAATTATTCCCCCATCTCCCATTTTATTTTGCTACAGAGCAGGACAATAGGTTGGAATTCTTTTGATGACAATTTCCACTAATGTTAATATCATTATGCAAGTGTTTGGATTCTTTTCAGAGCTGGCATTTAAGGACTGTGCAAGTCCCATGTTGTCCCTGCATAGGTCTAAGAGTTGCTGCTGCTATGTGTCTTCAAGTCATTTCTGACTTACGACACCCCAAAGGTGAATCTATCATGAGGTTTTCTTGGCAAGATTTGTTCCAAGAAGGCTTGCCCTTGCCTTCCCCTGAGGCTGAGAGAGTATGACTTGCTTGTGGGTTTCCCTGAGCAGGGATTTGAACCCTGGACTTCAGAGATGCAGTCCAAGGCTCAAGCCACTACACCACACTGGCTCCATTCTTGTTGTTGTCATTCTTGTGTGCCTTCAAGTCATTTCCAACTTATGGTGACCCTAAGGCAAACCTGTCATGGGTTTTTCTTGGCATGATTTATTCAGAGGAGGTTTGTCGTGGCCTTCCCCTGAGGTTGAGAGTGTGTGACCTGACCAAGGTCACTCAGTGGGTTACATGGCTGAACTGGGAATCAAACCCTGATCTCCAGAGTCATAGTCCAATGCTCAAACCATTATGCTCTCTGACTCCATTCTAACCAGGATTAAAATACAATCTGGGCCATAATAATATGAAAAGTAGCAGCTGATGGTATCCATGTCAATGGCGAGGTGAGTCTATTCTGGGCTTTATTTTAAAATGTAAAGGTGCTGGCACAAACATTGAAGCTATTTAGGGGTATTTTGAGTATCTCTGTCTCTCAAACAGCAGGATTTCTTCACCATTGGCTATGTTAGTTCGGGCATGCTATGCTATGCTATTCTATGCTATGCTATGCTATGCATATGCTCTTTGACTACAACCCCCAGTAGACTTATCCAGCAGAGTCAAAGATGAGGAAATAGTGGGAGCTGTAGTCCAACAAGATCTGGAGGTTATGATGAACACCCCTCTTTTGAATCCAATTATAGGACTTCAACTAGAGAGACCCATTGAATTAGTGGGATTCACATAAACATTGACTTACCATTCATCCGCTTAATCAATGCATCTTTTCTAGTTGGGACTAGCAATTGAATTTTGGCCTATGATTCCCAAATCTGAGAGAGGATAAATAATTACTGTTTCTGTTTTCAAAAGTGGAGAAGCTAACTCCTTCAGGCATGTATTTCCAACCTTATGATTCTATATATAGATATGCCATCCGACAAGTGTTTTAATTATGATCCCCATAAATTCTCAATCCTATAAAGCACCATTTTATAGACATCTTGACAGCTGGCCAAAGTTTTTGCTAGCATTATTACCACAAGCTCGGTATACATTCAAGGAGATGCTGTTTAATGCAAGAGGTGGAGTGCTTGCAAAATACAAAACACAACTAAAACCCTTAAAACCTGGGAAAAAAAGAAGTCAAATTATATATATGAAATGGATTATAGATGCAAATGAATCTTTACCCAAAAGGGAAAAAAATAGAGCAATTGGCAAAGAAAGAAGAAATCCTGGCACGCCTTGGTGAAGTTAACTAAGGGAATGTTGTGGTTATGTAGCTTATTTGTTGGGCCTGAACCACTTTCTAAACTGAAAAATAAAGAAAACAAATTAGCCTCTTTGGAAATCTGCAACCTCCCTGCTCTTTCATGCGCTGGACAATGTGAAACAGCTGCAAGGATGCTCTTGGAAATCCAGGTTTTGCCTCAAAAGGGGCCATGGAAAAAAGCTGAAAGAAAGAGTTTCACTCAGAGCATGACTGAAGGATCCCCCCCCCTCAAATTCCCAAACTAGAGTCCTTTTATTTTAATTTATTTTTTGCCACTTTCCCCCCAAACAGGGATTCAAGGATGCTCAGAGCGAGGTACAGATAGACATAAAAAGTTACGTTAAAATACAGTAGGACCTTGGTATCTCCTAGGGTTTGCTCCCAGGACCCCTGTGTATACCAAAATCCATGGATGCTCAAGTCACATTATATACAGTGGCATAGTAAAATGGTGTCCCTTGGGGCAGAGAAGGCTAAAGACCTTGTAAAACTACAAATCCCATGATACCATAGATGGAGCTTCCATCACTTAAAGTGGTCTCAAACTGCATTATTTCTACAGTGTAGATGCACCCCAAGACTCTCCTCTCTGTGAGCAACTGCATCCTACTTGCCTACTAGTCTGGCCTAGCCTCCTTAAGAAGATATATTCAATTTAACAATAGGTAACCAACATTTCCCTTACCTGTTAGTTTTTCTTAACCGGTTAAGCTCTGAAACATTTTTTTCTCTCTCTCTTTCAGTCTCCTTCTCTCCTTTCCAAATCCTGTTCCTTCCCAAGACTGCTGGTGATGGTGAGGTTTTTACAACCTGGAAAATGTGACTGCCTTGCACCTAGACCTTGCTCAATCCCATAAACAGCTACTAAATAATCCCTAGCTCTAGGCAGCAGCTGCTCCTTTTCTACCTGACGGGAGAAGGAAGCCAACATCTGGATGATGAAGACTTCCTTCCAATATGTTGGAAAGAAATAAGGTGACAAAATCCACAAAGACCCTATGCATAAAGCTCCATTGCAGGAAACTGGGCACGGCCTGCAGAGTAATACAGAAAGATGCCTTCTTCTTAAACTTAGCCATTGGCCCATCTAGTCTGGTCTTGTCTCTTCTGATCATCTGAAGCTCTCTTGCAGGTTCAGCTGGTGATTTCCATGTCCATGGATAGGTGATGATGCATTAGATAGGAACTGTCCAAAGTGCTGAGCCCAGCCCTAGAATAGGCTCTTTTGGAGAGCTGAGACCCCAAATGGATTTGGTACCATAGGGCCCATCAGCCTCCATAGAATACATAACTAAATGAAATTAGAAACGTCGGTGATAAAACCCCTAATATTCTTCTAATGGAAGGGTTCTTTGCAATTCCATCAGTGGAGACATGGAGAGACTAGTGATGGCCTGGAGCTTGGAAGGTTATTTTTCAAAAGTCATCGTCTCCTGTTCCTCATTGCAGTGTTTTAAAAGGAATTCACTGTTGTGACCAGTTGGAAATGCAGAAAAAGTAACTTGTTGCATTCTTCGTTTGGTTGCTGGTTGCTTTTGCATTACTCTGTCACTAAAGGGGGGGGTATGGACATCTGGTAAAACCAGGGCAACCAGCTGGGTCTAAGAGCCAATATGGGGCAATGGTTTGAGTGTTGGGCTATGACTTTGGAGGGTGAAGAATATTATGGAAGAGAGGGTTCAATTCCCAGCTTGGCCATGAAGCCCACTGGGATGGACCTTGGGCTTGCTCCCAGCCTCAAGGGAAGTCAATGGCACACCTCCTCTGAACAAATCTTGCCAGGAGAGCCTCATGATAGGGTCGCCATAAGTTGGAAATGACTTGAAGGCACACAACAACAGCAACAACAACAGCTTGGTCTACCAGTCCTGAAGTTCCCTACTCCTACTGGAAGGAATCTAACAGTTCAGGTGCAGCCACTGAAAAGGCCCTTCCTCTTTCCCCGGTCTATCTATCCATCCATGTTTCCACTGTCGTTGCACACAGAGGAGGGTCTCTTTGCCAGAATAAGTCTTTTGTTTTGCAAATTGTTTCGAAACTTGCATGCCTTCCCACCCCCTGACTCCCCAGAGGACAAAAAAAAAGAAAAAAAAGACAATGATCCCACTCAGGACCTATTTGAAGTTTGTGGAAAGAAATGCAGATTAACCCATCTGCGGAATAAACAGAGGAAAAAATGTGTAGTCTGGCGATATAAACAGGAAGTCTTGAAGGCTTCTCTTTTTAATATGTGCTTATTGCTTTAGTGAAGAAAAGATGAATTGATGGCGTGGGTCACAGGCTCAAAATATCTCTGTGGGCTTTAATATTATACTATAAACAAATGTCAGTCACAAAATGTCTCTTCCCCCAGCTCCCCACCAAGAGAAAATAATTCCCTTATTTGGATAGAGACATATTTGATATGAAGAACAATAACCCTGGAATTACTTTGGCAATGAGAAGGAGATGAATCGAGCTTTATTTTCCTCAAAGAATGAACAAAACGCGTGACGTGAACCCGCAGGTTCTTTTGTTCAAGTGCCGGCTGCTGTTTTTGAAAAAAAAAAAAGAAATTATTAATTTGGTCATTCCAGGAACAGACTGTGCTTTTAAGGTGTCCATCTGCAGAGATGTTTGCTGTGAAATTTCTGCATGAACCAAGTGGACCCTTCAACCCTCCTCTCTCAGATCTTGGCTCAAAAGTATAAGCTCGGGCCACCAACATGAAGGGATTTGTGGAGGGTCTCTTTTAAGCTTTGACCTGCTAGCAAGATAGCTCTCTTCCATAATTTTCTTCGCCACCATTAGTTGGAGGAACTCCCCCTCTTTCATACAGTTCTCTGGATTTCTCTAGGGAGGCTGTTGAGCAAAACAGAGACACCCTTTCTTCTTCTTTCCAAAGAAAAGGAGGTTCACTTTGACTTTCCACTGCCATTCGGCTCCTCCCTTGGACCCCTCTGATTTTTTCAGTTAAAAGCAAAACTGCATCATGCACATCATGCGTCATCTGTACAAATCCCATTGTCTGTGCATTGCCTGGTCTTCTCTTCTGTGGCACCACATGCATGAAATGCATGCCTTTTACAAGGACAGTCCCAGTTCAACACCTGCTGTCCCATTTTTTTTTATCAGCTTTTAAAATCAGTCATAAGATACTGTTGGATTGCAATTCCAAGCGTTCTCCATCACTGGCTATGTTATTTAGGGCTGCTGGGGGCTGCAATCCAACAGCACCTGGGTGGCAGCATGATATCACTATGGCTTCCCTATCAATGGGGAAAAGAATCCATTCCAGGTTTTTGTTGAGAATCCACTTTTGTGCCCCTAGTCTGCCAAAACGAGCCAACAAAATAATAAAACAATTTCTAAAAATAAATTTTAAAACTGATGCGACTTTGGGGCAATTTTTGGCCAAAAACCAGGCAGAGAGACTCCAAAATGTGTGAAAACACAAACATAGCCCCATCCCACTTCCACAAGGTCCCCCAAATCTCCTCCTATCCTAAATGTCATTCCCTGTCACCATTTTAAGAGGAAAATAGAGATGTTTGCCCTTACTGGAGGGTGCAGCAATGGTGGGCCCTGGAGAGGCTATTGTCCTCTGCATCCACACCAGAGTTTTGTGAGATAGCTAAATCAGAGAGCTCTGGTGCAACAACAAACTACAAATCCCAGGATTCCATAGCATTGACCCATGGAAGTTGAAGTGGTGTCAACCTGGATTATTTCTGCAGTGTGGGATGTTAGAGTCACAGGCCTACATTTTGCATCAGATGTTGTTTCTGTTGTAGTTCTGCTGTTCTGGAGGGATCTCAGTACTGACAAAAGTCATTCTCCTTCTTGACCAGGGACAAAGGGCAATCAAAAGACAGGTAACAAGAAAACAAAAATAAAGACCATAGAGGATCGACATAAATTCAAACTAGACAATGAGGAAACTGAAATAAAGATTCCCCATACCTTGGAGCAAACCTTTATCAGAATGGAGACTGAAGAAGTCAGAAGAAGACTAGGAATGGGAAGGGTAGCCATGAAAGAACTACACAATATATTAAAGAGTAAAGGCACACGACTGAGCACTAACCTTAGGATCATCCAGAGCATGGTATTCCCCATCACCATGGATGGATGTGAGAGTTGAACAGGAAAGAAAGTGGATAAGAAGAAAATCAACTCATTTGAGATAATGTGGTGATGGAGAAGAGTGCTGAGGATACCAGCGACAGCCAAGAAGACAAATAAATGAGTCCTTGAACAGAATAAGCCAGAAATCTTCCTGGAGGCCAAGATGGTCAAGTTGAGCCTGATATACTTCAGCCACATCATGAGAAGGAAGAACTCATTGGAAAAGACAATAATGCTAGGAACTCTAGAGGGAAGTAGAAAGAGAGGAAGGCTAGACTCAACCAGGGAGGTCACAGCCTAAATCTACAAGACTTAAGCAGAGCAATGGCAGACAAGAGATCTTAGAGATGTCTCATCCACAGGGTTGCCATGACTTGAGGTCAACTCAAACACAGCTAGCAACAAGAAACGATAAGATTTCAACTCCATTAGCAACAGAAAAGTAACTTCCCTTGAGATCCAGGTCGTCCCCATCTTGTGTGAATCTAAATGACCTGGAAGCCACTGCAATGCCTTTGAATGAACTGGGAATGGCCCCAGCGACAAACCCAACACATCACTGCAAAGGAGTCACTCAGAGAAATATACTGGTTGCCGTTACTGCTTTCCACACCTTGACTGGTTTCAAAATATCCTCAGGGTTTCCCCAGCAGCACCGAGATTGACCATTCTTCAAAAGAGCGAAAGGTTTTATGTCCTGCTTGCAAAAGTGTTCCAAAGTCCCAACATCTCTAAAGACTTTTTGTTGCTGCTGTTGTGTGCCCTCAAGTTGTTTCTGACTTATGATTACCTTATCACGGGGTTTTCTTGGCAAGCAGGGGTTTGCCAGTGCCATCTTTTGAGGCTGAGAGAGTGTGACTCGCCCAAGTGTGTTCTAATGGCAGAGTCGGGATTCGAACCCTGGTCTCCAGAATCATTGTCCAACACTCAAACCATTGCACCACTCTCACTCCTCTTATCCATCTCTAAAGTCTATCCAACAGAAAACAAGAGAGAAAGGAGGGAGGGAAGGAAAATCACATTTTTTCCCCCTCCAGGTCAGCAAGAGAACCGAACAGTTTGCGGTCTCCCATGTGTGCGAAAAAAGATCAAAGGAAATTCAAGATCTGCCCAAGCAACAAATTAATCTCCTTCCAGGAGAAATAATGTTACAGATACAGACATTGTTTTAATCCTCAATTATTAAATTGCAGGGAGGAATGAAATCGTCAGCAAACGTTTGAGACATTTTTGGACTCTTTGCCAGGGATGCGTTCCCAACGGGCTGCATGTTGCTGCGTGTGTTGAACTGAGTGTGAACCCGGGGTTGTTGGTGAGTCTTTCAACACACAAGCAGCGCCACTTTTTCCAAGCTGGTCTTCTGCACACCGTTTCTTTGGAGAGAGGGAAGGAACAATATGGACTTGTCTGTATTCCTACACAGATTTTTCCCTTCCTCCTTCATATTATTCAAACTCAGCATTCAGCCAGTGAAGCTGACGGACTGAGGATTTTGGACTGAAAAAGGAAAATAGCTATTTGTTAACTTGTGGGACTCCATGCCACAGGATGTGATGGCATCATCTGGGTTAGATTTAAACAGGAAATCTAGGAGCTGCAAATATAAGTCTGTCCAGGCTTTAAAATCTCCAGAATAGGCCCTTTTCTTCATCCCAGCACCTTCATAGTCATGCCTTGTAGGGATGCTAAATAGGGCATTCTTGGTGGCTGCTCCCAGGATCTAGAACTCGCTTCCCAAAGAAGCCATGATAGTCTCCTCCTCCTTCTCCTCCTTCTCTTAGAGGGCAAATACTTTTTATTTTATTCCAACAGACTTTTAGAACTGAAGGTTTTTAAAGAAAAGGCTTTAAAAGGTGCCATATAATAATAATAATAATAATAATAATAATAATAATAATAATAATAATAATAAATTTTTATTTATAGCCCACCCCTCTGCACAGCAATCGAGGCGGGTTACAGCATTATAAAACATACAAATTTAAAACATTCCTTGTCCCGTATCCAACCCTCCCACCCCTTAAAACTGAATTAAACTATTGAAAAATTAAAACAAAATACAATATAATGAAACACATTACAATACAATATATATATATATGTGTGTGTGTGTGTGTGTGTGTGTGTGTGTGTATGTGTGCATATATATATATATATGGTAATTCAACTGTTTTAAACCATGTTTTATCCTTTGGGGGGTACATTTCAAATTATTTTTAACATTCTGCATGGTTTAATTCCATTTTAATGTTGACCTTTGTGTGCTTTTGACCAAATTATACTTGTTTTAAATTTTAAGCTGCCTGGACTCTCAATTTTGAGGGGAAAGCAGAGTATAGATGATGATGATGATAATGATGATGATGATGATGATGATGATGAGTCTACCCATGGCTCCCACTTTTGATTATAAGATTGCAATTTTGATTTGTAACCACCCATTGCTTCAAGATAATGATTTAGATGTCGGGAAAATTATTTTTTTGGACTACAGTTTCCAGAATCCCTTGAACAGGGATGTTGGAATTTGCAATCCAAAACCAGAACAATTTCAAGCACTGCCAAGAGTTGATATTATCAGAAAGGTTGATCTAGCAAGATACAATTTGTTTGACACGAGCGGCGAAGATGCAAGCAGGAACAGACAGGTCAGTCTATGGCAGCAATTCCCAAACTTTGGTCTTCCAGATGTTTTGGACTTCAACTCCCAAAAGCCCTAGCCAGCCTAGACAGTGGTCAGGAATCCTGGGAGCTGAAATCCAAAACATCTGGCAGACCAAAGTTTGGGAACCACCGGTCTATGGCATAAATGCTCTGTTGAGTCCCACCCAAAGTAGGCCCATTAAATGAATGGGATTTACTTATGTGTCAACTCTCCATCAGGGTTTTTACTCTGTAAGATTCAGACCCATATTCATTTCCTATCTGTTAAGTGCTGTGCAAGGCAGATCAAGATTTGTATATAATTTTTAATACATTTTTATTTTTAATGTGTAAATGTTTTAACTTTTTAAATGGCTCAATTGGTTTTTTTTAACTGTATCCTTTTTAAATGCCTTTGTACTGTTTTTAAATTATGCTGTTTTAAATGTGCCGTTAGCCACCTTGAACCCCTATGTTGAGAGAAAAGTGAGATATAAGCAAACAAAATAAGCAATAGTAATTTAACTTTACCTCTTTTTCTTCACCATTTAGTTTTCTGCAAGTAAACACACCTATACAAGAATTGCATTTAGCAATACAATTTCCCCGCAAACACTTTTTTCCTAAAATGCATATTGTGTATTCCCTTGAGTATATGCTTTATTGATATGCATCTTTCCCTGATATGTGAATTACTGTGTGCATTTTTGGTTTCAAGTTGAGCTAAATTTAGAGAAGGGAGGATCGGAAGGAACGTTAACGGCTTAGTTTCAGTTGGTTTTTCTTTAACATTAGCGGACCACCTGAATTTAATCTCCAGCGTTGCTGATACAGAGATAGCCACGTTTATCCCTGTCTCTGCTGTAAGACAAAACAAAAATCCATAAACTTGGAGAAAAGCAAAAAAGCATTTCTTTCTCTGAGCCTCAACAGACCCCTTAGTCAGTAGCGATAGGGAGAATAGGGATGGAAAGAATATTTAAAAATATTTTAGAAGCTGGGGGAAAGTTAGTGAGTTTGTTTTTTGTTATTTCAAGTGTCAGGAAACCCAGATAAGGAGAATCCTACATGGATGAGAATCTTCATCTTTGAGGCTTATTTAGGGGGAAATTCACATAAGGCATTTTTCTGCGCAGGAAACAGCCAGTTCAGAAATATATATTTTTCTGCACAGAAAAGGCTGTTTCCAGCATAGAAAATACAGTATTTCTTTACTTATTCTTCACAAAGTTTGCACACATTTTGTTTTGCACAGCAAGCAGCATTTTCCACGGAGAAATAGAAAATGCTCCTTCCTAGGCAAAAAGGGAGTTTCTTGCACACACACCAGATGTTCTGGTTTTGGATTGCAAAAAAATACCAGATACAATTTTTGTGTAAAATAAGTCCACAACTGTGAACTTTCTTGCAGCAAAGTTGTTAAAATTAACCACTGGTTCCTTTGAGAATAAAATTAGTAAAGAATTACAACCCTGAAGGACATACCATTAACCCTGAATGCCAGAAAGCCAAAAATTGAAACATAAATACCAATTGTCCCCAGAATTTAGGAATAATCTTACAGTCACAATCTTGCAATTGCAGAGATCTCCAATGGCTAATATATGGGGCCCAGAATTTGGGACTTTGCTTTTGTTTGTAACTTTATATGCTGAATGAAGAGATCTGGACCGCTCAGAAACTCGCATCATTTATGTATCACTTTTTTTTTAGTGGTCCTAAGGAAAGGTAATCCCCATCTGTGATATTTGCATTATATTCAGTGCATTAGTTCAGGAGGACAAATAAGGTTAGTTTGCTTAAAAAGTCAAAATAGAGGCGATCCTTCTCCCTCTCTAAGAGAAAGCAAAGCAACCAAGGAAGTCTCAGATTGATGTGTATGCAAGCAGCAAGCCTCTATAGAAAGCTTTGCTCATCAGAAACTGATCTATTCATATTTGTCTGTTTCATTCTAAAAAGAACAGGAGGATAGTGAAGAGAGAGGAAAATGAAAAAGTCTTGTAGTACCTTTAAAGTTGGCAGACTTATTTTAGCATGCACTTTCATAATGGATTTCAGATGCATTGATCTATTGATCTATTGGTGTACTGATCAATGATTTATTATCATCAGCTTCACAATCTGCCAATTGTTACCGACTGGAATTTTGTACCATCAGTTATTTTGATTCTATCCACGAATATAGAAAACAGTGAGGTGTTTTTGTGGAATGTCCTAAGCAACATTGCTTTTTGTAATTATGCTATCCTAATCTTGTCTCTAGAGATTTCACTCAGATGTTTTGTTAGTCCATCTGGAATTGCTCCCAAATCACCTGCCACTTCTGGGACCACACTTGTTGTGTTTTTTTCCCCAAAGGTGTTGTATCTCAGTTTGTAGGTTGCAAATTTATAGATCACATCATCTTTCCCCTCTCTTTACCTTCAATTCTGGTGTTCCTAAGATTGTTGCCTCCTCCTCCTCATTATTATTATAGCCCCACTTTCATAGAAATGTTTTACAGCATAATATTTTTCTATATATGTCCCACCATTTCCATACGTTGGTTCAATGGATAATAATGTTGAACTGCACCTATCATTTGTCAACAGTGTATAAAACCACATAACAACTTTCTCTTCACGTGAACATTTGATGAGATTTGTGTACGTTTGGGTGATGAATGACTTGGCTCAATGGCAAGTCAACATTTATGTAACTTCCATGGATTCCTTGGATCTGCCCTACCTTGGACTAGCAATTGAATTTAGTGTTTTAAACCCAGTAACATCTGTACTTGGGATGCTAGAATCAAAATCAATTCAAGCTTCGCCTGAAGATGATGCAGTAGTTGAAGTTAGGGAGACCTGGGTGAGATACCTGGATGAGATGGCATCTTGAAAGCCCTTGAATTCCATAATAAAAAAAAGAAATGGAATATAAAAATGGTTTTGCACACAATTAGAGAGTGTCTTAAGAATTGTCCCTGACCCATTTTCCCCCCTTGTGATGCTTTGAAATGTTCAAAGTGGGTTTGCTGTGATTTTGGCAGGTATGACTGTCAAGTAATCCACCTAAGCACAACTTCAGGAGAAATTGGGAAGAAATAATAGACCTAAGAAAAAATTCGAGACTTGACAAAGGTCATGAAAGACAGGGGAGCTTTGTGAAAAAATAAAGTAATGAGGTTCAAGTCAAGGACGCTTGAAAGGTTTAAGTTACAAAGTGCCATTTTCGAATGTAAAAGAAGACCCATGCTCATTTAGTACTCAGTGCTAGATTACAAGAAACATAAGCACCCTAAATAGAACCCTGTTAAACCCATCAG